AGTGTGTATGAACTTGTATTAATTTGGTCTTTTCGGTGTTGTGTAATGAAGATGAGACGGCAATGGATGTACGATAACCGATGTTCTCCCTAGTTCATTAAAGGCATGCATACTTTTCTGATTGCAGCTGAGGAAAACAAATGGGCGGATGGTTTTATGTGTTGTCCATGTGCTGACTGTAAGAATGATCAAAATTCCTCTAACTCAAGAACCATTCACGTCCACCTATTTGAGTCTGGTTTCATGTCCGACTATAACTGTTGGACCAAGCACAGAGAAAGAGGGGTCCTAATGAAAGAGAAAGAAAAAGAAGAGGATGCCGAAAGCTATCCTGGCCATGGGTTCCCTGAATACGATCCATAATTGGGGAAGTAGCTAAGCCAGCAATGCGGGAAGAAGCTGAAGAAGATGCATCAGATGATCCCGCTGATGATCTTGGTTGCGCCATTGCCGATGCAAAGAGAAATTACGCTAGTGAAAGGGAGAGGCTGAAGTTGTAGCGCCTGTTAGAGGATTACAAGAAATTGTTGTACCCAAATTGCAAAGATGACAAGAAAAAGTTGGGCACCGCACTGAAATTGCTGCAATAGAAGGCAGAGAATGGTGTATCTGACAAGGGATTTGAAAAATTGCTTATAATGTTAAAGAAGATGCTTTCAAAGGACAACGAATTGCCCAACAATATATACGAAGCAAATAAGGTTGTCTGCCCTCTAGGATTAGAGGTGCAGAAGATACATGCATGCCCTAATGACTGCATCCTCTACCGCGGTGAGTACGAGGATTTGAATGCATGCCCGGTATGCGATGCATTGCTCTATAAGATCAACAACGATGACCCTGGTGATGTTGAGGGCGAGCGCCCCAGGAAGAAGATTCCTTCCATGGTGATGTAGTATGCTCCTATAATACCACGGTTGAAACGTTTGTTTCAGAACAAAGAGCATGCTAAGTTGATGCGATGGCACAAAGAAGACCGTAAGAAAGACGGAAAGTTGAGAGTACCTGCTGACGGGTCGCAATGGAGAAAAATCGAGAGAAAGTGGAAGGACTTTGCAGATGACGCAAGGAAAGTATGGTTTGGTCTAAGCGCAGATGACATTAATCTTTTTGGGGAGCAGAGCAGCAATCATAGCACCTGGCCTGTGACTCTATGTATGTATAACCTTCGTCCTTGGTTGTGCATGAAGCGAAAGTTCATTATAATGGCAGTGCTCATCCAAGGCCCTTAGCAACCCGGCAACGACATTGATGTGTATCTAAGGTCATTAGTTGAAGAACTCTTACAGCTATGGTATGAAAAAGGTGTACGTGTGTGGGATGAGCACGGACATGAGGAATTTGACCTACATGTGTTGCTGTTTGTGACAATCAATGATTGGCCTACTCTCAGTAAACTTTCAGGACAGACAAACAAGGGATACCGTGAATGCACGCACTGTTTAGATGATACCGACAGTATATATTTGGCACACAAGTATGTGTACATGGGGCATCGTTGATTTCTTCCGAGCAGGCATCCCGTAAGAAAGAAAGGCAAGCATTTCAAAGGTGAGGCAGATCACCAGAAGAAGCCTCGCCACCGTACTGGTGATGATGTACTTGATATGGTCAAGGATTTAAAAGTAATCTTTGGAAAAAGGTCCTGGTGAACAATCTGTTTCGAATGATGTACTAGATACTTCGTTTGAGCGGCAAATAATATGGATTGGAGGGAGTATATTGAACTTTTTTTATATACTGTGAATATTTAACAAAATGCACACTAAACAATTATTTAATATACTACGAACATTTTTCTTAATTGCAATGATTTTTTAATATGCAGTGAACAATTTTTTGAAAATAACGATCAACATTTGACATCCCAAACGAGTTTTTTTGAAAATGCGAAAACTTTTGAAATTGTTAATAAATTTTGAAATTTAGAACATTTATTGATAAGACAAATAGATTTTAAATATGGGAAATTTTTTACAAAAGATCGTTTTTTGGAAATTATAAACATGTTTTGAAATTATGAAAATAACACAAAAAGTGGTAAAAACAATTATTTTAAAAAATTATGAATTTAAAAATAAAAGAGTAAAAAAAGAAGAAACAAAAATGTAAAAAAAAGGAGGCTAAAAATAGGAAGAAGGAAAAAACATCTGATAGCTTATAAGGCCTTGTACAATGCTAGGTGCTTGGGGAGCTGATTAGAAAAATAACCGGGATTTTCTAAAGCACCAATGTCTATTTATATAGTTGAGACGCCTAATTTAGTGTTTATCCTGTATAAATAAAAATCGATGCTTAACGAACATCGATTCATTTATCTAAGTACCTTCCTTAAGCGCCTTGCATTGTACATGGCCTAAAATCCATTAGGAATGCTTCCGCTCAATGGGCCAGACGGTCGATGAGGCTATGGCGATATAGCATGCAAAGCTGTACGACTCGTCGAGTAAGGCTCCTAAAAATTAAGGGTAGTATATGTACAAATTACTAGGTCCAATAAAGAGAAAACTGTAATAGCCGGATCGCAATTCCTATATAATGCTTCAGGCGCCCAGCAAGCTGTCGCTAGCGCTTGCGTGGATGTTACACAGGGACACGCTGATCGCTGGTTAGCGCCCATGTACACACATAAAACCTTTCCAGACCAATTTTGTGTGTTTTTTTTCATTTTTGTTCTTTCCTTTATATTTAATTTATCCTTTTACTTTCTTTTACTTATTTATTTTATGTTCTTATATTCTTTCCTTTTTATTTTCTTATTTTCATTTCCTGACATATTTTGAAATTTTGTGAATTGCTTAATGTAATCATGATTAATTTTTGAATTCATGAACATTTTCTTGTAACCATGAGCATTTTCAAATTCGTGAACACTTTTTAAAATAGTTAACCTTTTATGAATTCAAGAACATGTTTTCATAAATTCAAGAACATTTTTTTGAATTTCCTGAATCTCCTGTTTTTTCAGAATCAGAATTTTTATTTTCAATCAACAAATATTTTTTGGAATTTTTTTTACCTTCACTAAGTGTTTTTTGTTTGACGGATATATTTATGTAATGCATGAACTTTTTTATGAATTTATTAATATATTTTGAATTAGCCAACATTTTTTGAATTGATGAACTTTTTTATGTAATTCGTGATCATTTTTTGATTTTATTGAATGGTTTTCAAAAAATTCACGATAATTTTTCGAATCCATGAACTTTGTTGAAAATCATTTTTTGAATACGTGAACATTCTTTGAATTCACGAATACTCTTTTCAATTCCGAGAACATTTTTGAATTTGATAAATTATTTCCCCTTATGGATGTTGCTCATCAACTTGGCATTCGACCCGAAGAATCAATGAGGATTGCAAAGGTTTGGAAGTAGAGTTAAATCATATGTAATTCTCAGCCATCTACATTTTGTTAGGCACATCTGGTTTGAAGGCAATTATTGGCCTGGATTGAATATCAGCAACAAGAAGTATGCGTCAATTGCGCAACCCTTATTTTGTTAGGGATCAAACCAGTAGGAAGACAGACGGTATTCATCACCAATCAAAAGGTATGACATATACATAATTTTGGTCCCATTCTGAGTAAATTTTGGGTATGCTATCCAGAATTCTCCGGATGGAAGTCAAAATGTGCCATGGGTAGTTTCCAGTATAAGATACTTGGTCTTCTCTAGCACGCCACATGTAAATCACCAGCACTAGTAATAGTTTTTTTGTTGTTGCCCCAAGTTGGCAGTATCTCAAAATTACACCTATGGGACAGGCTCATAACAGTCTTGTCATAATCACGAACTGTTCCAAGGAAGGACATATATGTGTGTTTCAGCTACACATGTGTCCACATATGTTGTGTGAGCATGCAGTCTTGACATTGCATATTATGTCGCTTGTGACGATGTATGCAACAGGGTTAAAGCTAAATCTTAGAGGCGTTGGATTACTACAATCTTTGCACATCTGGCAGCGGAAGTGAGATGATATTTGCATGGACTTCATGGTCAGGTTACCCAAGTCAACCCGAGGCAGTGAGTATATATATATGGATCATAGTGGACACTCACACCCAAGTGACCCACTTGGTTGGCGAGAAGGAGAGTACAACCGCAGTCTTGCATGGCAGGACGTGCGGGCGCACGATGGCGCATGACCTGCTCTAGCTGTTGGACTCGCGAGGGACTCGATGTAGGAGCCGTTAGCCACCAGAAGGGCGACGTGCATGCGTGGTCGAACACCCTCCGCAGCCAAAACGTGGGGTTGGCCGATGTTGAGGCTGGACCTGAAGTCGTCGAAGACACGCGTCGGAAGCCCTTTGGTGAAGATGTCCGCAAACTGCAAGCTCGTGGGTACGTGGAGGACACGGATCTCACCAAGAGCGACGCGCTCACGTACGAAGTGTAGATCGATCTCGATGTGCTTCGTTCATTGGTCTTGCACCGGGTTGCTCGACATGTAGACGGCGTTGACGTTGTCACAATAGACTACCATAGCTCGCGAGGGAGGTTGGTGAAGCTCGCCGAGAAGCTGGCGTAGCCATACGGACTCGGCAACTGCATTGGCAACCGCGTGGTACTCGGCCTCGACGCACGAGCGGGAGACAATGTTCTGCCTCTTCGAGAACCATGTGAGAAGATTGCCGCCAAGGAAGTAGTAACCAGAGGTGGACTTGCGCTTGTCGGGGCAGCCGGCCCAGTCGGCGTCGGAGTAGGTGACAAGCATATACTCTTTTTTTTTTACAATGTTGGTTCGATGAAGACAATACATAACGCTGATCGAGCATCCATCCAACAATGCATACTCTTTTTTTATTCAAATAGAAAGTAATAAAATTATTACAAAATGCTATCAGAGATCATCAAATAATAATATTACTCAAAGTTCTAGACCGAAAGGATACCACACCATGTCTCATCAAGTTCTAGGTGGAAAAGACTGCAGTCCTGCTTCTCCATGAAACAAGATGCATGCATGTCATCTTCATCCCTTTTGCTTGTTCACATCTCCTCTTGCTTGTCCAGTCCCACAGAAGTAGCAACATGCTGATATCCATCTTGCTTACGCGCTCTCTCAGCAGCGTGCTGATATTGTCGTATCAAGGGAAGACTCTCCACGGTTACAAGATATCCGTCATACTTCACTATTTCAGGACCGGAAGGCAGGGCACAATAACCGAGAGCATTAATAGCAAGAATACCCGCCAAAGCAGTCCACTTGGTCACCTTCTTGCTCCTGGTTATCTTCCGCCTACAGGTGGGTGGGATGAGACGGTAAGAATTACTTATTGTATATATGAACTATAGGAGAAGAAAAAAAACATATATGTTTCCATGTGGTTGATATATCGTACCATTGAGGGTCATGTGGTCTAGGCTCGATTTGGGTAGAGAGGTCCTTGAGCAGACTCTTGTCCCGCAAGGAGGTTTTAGAATCGGCGTCGACAAGGGCAATGACTTCGTACAATTGCTCCTTCTTCAGCTGGACTAGCTCCGCACGGTGTTCCTCCTTCATGGCGTGGGTGAATTTGGAAGCCTGCAAACGCATCAGCTCCCCCATCCGCCGGACTAGCGGACCACGTTGTTCCTTGTCTAAGGGGAGGATGGATTTGGAAAGCTAGAAACACATAAGCAGCATTGAGATCAACTGATAAGCAAAATAATGTTCACAAGACATGTTGTCTACGTAGAGCCAAACACACCTTATATCTTGCATTGGAGTACATAAAACTAGATGGAGACAAAAAAATATGTCGATTTTACCGACATATCAACGCATCCATGCTAGGCAGATGATTATCTACCAATGGTATAGCAAAGCATAAAATTAGTTGGGAGACAAAAAGTCCTCGATTTTTAGCAAAATATCAAGGGCATTCATGCTAGACAGTTGATCATATCTACGAATGACACCAAATTATAGAACTCGTTGGAGACCAAACTGTGTCGATTTTACCAAAATATCAAGGGCATTCAAGCAAGTCAGTTGATCATCGATCTACCAATGCCATGGCACAGGAAAACGTGAAACTCATTGGAGACAAAATTATGCCGATTTTACGAAACTATCAACGGATTATTCATGCTATCTTGTAGCTACTAATGGAAATCAATGAAAAATATGCCTGTTTTAAGGATGATACCCGTGCATCCCTGTGATATACTACTGTAGTATACAATGGTATGGAGAGAGGCAGAGAGCAGAGAAGAGGTGAGGAGCTCCACCAACAACCAGACGTCGGGACCTACTAGGAAAATAGCGAGCCGGATATGGGATGGGACAGAGAAGAAGATACATACATCCTCGGCGTGGACGAGCCGGCGAAGCCCCTGCCCTCGAAGCACCGACGGACGCGGGATCCTCGTGGTCGCCGCCGCGCGGAGAGACGCAGCCATCGTCGCAGGCCTGCACTGCAAACAACAAAGGTGAAAGGTGTAGGGCGAATCACCCAAGCTTGAGGTACAACCGTAAGGGAATACCTTGCCTCTTAGGGTTAGGGTTCCACGCGTCGTCGCTTTTTTTCTTTTTCCTTGTGCACACGCACGTACGTAATGAAGCTATGCATGCGACGTTCTGTTTTCCAAATTAAAACTCGCCGCGTTTTCCGCGCGGGCGCAGGTAGTCAATCGAGCTACGTCAGCTTTTTCCTAGTACTTCCTCCTTCCTAAAATATAAGGCGCGATTGACTACACACGGTTTTTGATGCACGACTTTGACTATATATATATATATATCAAAATACATGGATTGAACATGTGTAAATGGCACTATCGTATTTGTCTCACAAAATAATTTTATTTCATATATCTGTATACTAATTTTATAGGAATACAATACATGAAAATTACAGTCAAAGCGTTATACAACGAAGATTAGAAAAGTCAATCGGCGTCTTATATTTTGAGAAGGACCGGGCCCCAAATCCGTCCCAAACATTTGCACAGGCAGTCGGTCAAATGACCGGACGCAAAAGCGGCACTAAACCGGGCGCTCCAAATCCGGCTGAAACGCCCGGACTGACTGGCAAGCTCCGTGTCCAGTCTCGTATATGGAGTGGATACGGAGATGCCCGAGCGCGCCCGTCACGTCGGCTTAGCCCGCTAGGGCCCACGTCGCCCCTTCAAAAAACCCATCCCGTCCAACGAATCCTAGTCAAACATCAGTCCACAATTGTCTTCTCCGTCCTCCTTGTCGCCTCCGCTTCCTTCCAAACCCTACCCTCCCCTCTGCCATGACCAACTTCATGAGTGCTTCGGCAGCGTGCCCGATCACATCGACTAGGACGGTCTCGTCAAAGAGGAGGACGGCGGATCTAGCTTCGATACACCGGACGACGAGGAGCTCGCGCTACGCATCACCACCAAGCACTCGCGGGTGGACACCGGCAGGAGCTTAAACTCCCTCACGTCCATCGCAAGCTCCTCCACATCCCGCTGACAGAATGTGGGTCGCGGTAGCCCGTCCCGCTCCGCGCCGCTCAAAATCTGGAGCGCATGCGTCTCCCCTTTCCCTCCGGCGCGCGCATCACCCGGGCAACGGTGGGTGCTCGTGCCCGCGGCTCCAGCGCGGATGCGCGTGCCTGAGTCGGAGGCGAATGCGGCCCGACATGAGCGGCAACGACGGCTTTGGCGGCATTCTGCTCTTGTTGCCAGCAGGCACGCTCCGTCGCCGTCAACCCAGAGGAGGCGCTCATCCGCGAGGTCATGCGGTGGTCTCTGACCACGGAGCAGACTGACACGTGGCGCCTCCACCTCGTTCGCGAGGCGTCCGAGCTCCTCGCTCGAGAGAAGGAGACCGCCGCCGCCAATGCTACCCGCCGCGCGAAGGAACAACATCGCCTCCTCTGCCGCCTCTCTAGGTGCATTTCGTCCGCATCGGAGAGCAGCACCACCATGGACGACGACGACAACCCTTCCGCCGCCGACGCGTATATGGAGGAGATGGGCCGCACCGCCAATCCCAAGGGCAAGGGCTCGGGCAAGAAGTGGTGAACTCCGGTTGGCCCCTTTATCTATTTTTATGTTTTATACTCCCTCCGTTCCTAAATATAAGTCTTTGTAAAGATTTCACTATGGACCACATACAGATGTATCTAGATGCATTTTAGAGTATAGATCCACTCATTTTGCTTCGTATGTGGTCCATAGTGGAATCTCTCCAAAGACTTACATTTAGGAACGGAGGCAGTAGTTGTTTTATGTTCTATTTAGGTCGAATTTGAAGTCCGTTGGTCCTTTTGGATGAACTTTGTGGATGTCTGATGCCTGAAATGCTATGTTCTATGCTATCTCTTATGATCTACGTTCTTCCGCCTCCGAATGCGCCCGCGGTCGTTTGGGAGCCAGAATTTGCCAACCCTGGATTATAGATGCTCTTATTCATGCAGGGCATTTCAAACACACAGATTACATGCTTGCATCTCTAGTACGTATGTACGTACGTATCTCAAATAAAAAATGTTGGAGTAGTACGTACTCTCCTTCCGTTTCTTTTTTACTCTGTGTATAAACTTTGTTCCAAATCAAACTACGAAAAGTTTGATCAACTTTATCTTAAAAAACATGAACATTTACAATACAAAAGTTATATAGTGTGAAAATTTATTTCATGATGCATCTAATGATATTGATTTCATATTCTGAATGTTGATAATTTTTCTTATATAGTTGATCTAGCTTTATGAAGTTTGATTTTGACAATTTTTATATGCATAGGCAGATTAAAAAGAAATGAACGTGACTACAAGTACACGCCTCATGCGTTGTTGGTTCTGGCCCGCCTTGTCGCTTCCGATCCAACGAATGAGTACACAACAACTTGGTACTGCTAGCTGCTTCCCTTCATTAGTCCATGTAATGTAATGTAATGAAAAAAATAATATTATTGTTGGATTATCATGACTTTCCGCTTAGTGCAAAGTGAACTAATCTAAGCAAAATACCATTGCGTCCTTCCCGCTTCCAGGCAACCGAACATGCATCATAAAGAGACGAACGAAGGTGAAGGACTCCAGCTCGCCGACGTTGACGTTGAGGTCCCCATGGCAGGGTCTAGATCCTCGCCCTCGAGCTGGGGAAGTACGTCCTTGTTCAGATAGGGTGAAGTGCGGGAGCACATGACGGTGCTGATTCGGTGATAACAATTCATACGATCTGAATTCATCCAACGTAAAGAATAATATAGCTTGTAGCAACATCACAAGTAAATTACAATGCTATCAAAGATCATCCAGTATAATATTACTCAAGGTCTAGACGGAAAGGATACGTAACATGCCATGTCTCAAGTTCTAGACTGAAAGGATATATAACATGGTACCGGAAAAGAACTGATATCCGTCTTGCTTCTCCTTGAAACAAGATGCATGCATGTCATGTTCAACCCATCTCCTATTCAGCAGTAGCAATAGGCTGGTATCCATCTTGCTTGTGCACTCTCTCAGCAGCCTGCTGATATCCTTGTATCATGGCTAGACTCTCGGCAGTAACAAGATATCCTTCATACTCTACTATTTCAGGACCGGAAGCCAAGGCACGATAACCGAGCGCATAAATAAGAACAATACCCGTCCACGCAGCATGACGAGCCACCTTCTTGTTTCTTTTTAACTTGCGCCTAGAGGTAGGTGGGATGAGAACGTAAGAATCATTATAGATACTCCCTCCGTCCCAAAATTCTTGTCTTAGACTTTTCTAAATACGGATGTATCTAGTTATGTTTTAATGCTAGATACATCCGTATCTAGACAAATCTAAGACAAGAATTTTGGGACGGAGGGTACCATTTAGCATGAGCGGTAAGCTATAGCAAAAACAATAAACAAAAGAATCATTATAGATACAATTTTGTTAAAGCACATCTAGATGTGCTAAGTATTGCACTTCTAAGTCCTATATCGTTGATCTTGATTCGTGCGAGTATTTTTTTCTTTTTATGATTAATTAAGACACTTAGATATGCAATAACTATAGCACATCTAGAGTGTCCTAGACACACCCCTTATAGATGTATGAACTTCTGTAGCAGAGGAAGTATGGAGTGAAAACGCTTATGTCTGCAAATAGTTTATATTGTACCATAGAGGGTCATGTGGTCTAGGCTCGATTTGTGTAGAGAGATCCTTGAGCAGACTCCGGTTCCGCAAGAAGGTCGCGGAGTCGGGGTGGCCGCCGGCGATGAGATCGTAGAGGTGCTCCTTGTACTGCCGGATAACCGACGCACCGTACTCTGAGCCACAGTGTTGCTTCCAAAGACGGCTGGATCTGTCAATCTGGAAACACACGAGCAGCATTGAGAAGTGATAACAGGAAAGTGATGTGAACAGGACATGTCGTCTACGTACGTACAGCAAGGCTTAGGAAAATAGCAAGCCGGCCAGAGATGGTATACCTGCTGGGCGTGGCGAATCCCCTCCAGTGGAAGACGCATGATCCACCTCCCCGCCGCGCCGAGGGAAGCCGCCATCGTCGCACCGCTGCAAGACTCCTCGAGAAATCAGGCCGGCCGTGTTGGAACCTTACCTTGCTAATCGAAACTGATTAGGGCTAGGGTTCCTCGTTCGCCGACCTTCCGCCCACTAGAAGGACGGGACGCGATCGTGCAGAGTTCTTTTTTTCTCTTTTTTGGAAACCTTGTGTTATTTACTCTCGTGAAGAGCTATCTGTCTTTTTATTGGGCTATATGTTACGCGTCCGTCGGTTGATTCTTTAAAAAAAAACTGCCAGGTCGCGAGCCGCCCGATCGTTTTTCTTTGTTTATTTTCCCGATCGTTTCTCTTATCTACTTTCCTGCAACAAGACCTTTGTTGGAAAAATATTTTTGTAACAAGATCCTTGATGCAAAATTTACAACATCTTCAGTTTCTTCTTTATATTCCTGCAACATAGCCTTCCCTAACCTTTTTCCCGTAGCGGGCCAGAGACAGTCCGTGATCGGGACGAGAAGGGCGAGTGCAGATGAACGACGCGGTGGTTGTGGCTGCTGATGGCGTGATAGAACGACGACAAGGTTGACGCGCTCCGCACTGGCGTGTCGGATCTCACTAGATTCGTCGATCCAGTGGTGGGGAGGTGTAGGGCGGCGGAGATCCGCCATGGAGTCGCACAAGCGACGACAACCTGCAGGCGACACTGGACCGACGGGTCGAGGTAGGGGCAGCCCCAGCCGCACTGACAAGGAGGAGAGGAGGCGCCCGGTGGGGCCGGGCGACCTGATCGGTGGTCACCGGAGATCGGGCATCGCGGGGTGTATCTCCCTAGCTCGACGGTGGTTGTAGATGGGGCGTAGCAACTAGTAGGCAGATGGATTGGTCGGTCTGCAACATCCCCATGTTATGCTCCGATGTTTGCAACAAGACCAATGTTGCAAAACACATGTGCTAGGAGGGTGTTGTACGCCGCACGATCAACCACTGATGCCGGGCAAGGAGTGGAAGGAGTTGCCTTTTACTCCTCCTACTGTGGTTGGTACATTGCGTCGTGGTCATTGGGTGATGTCTTGGACATGGATGGCAGGACGGCGGCTCTGGATGGCGGTCTGCATGGTTGGCTCTCCGGCGAACACCATGGTGGCGGTGGTGGCTTCCTTCCGATCGTGTGGGCGACTAGCGGGGGAGCGGTTGGTGGCTTGGGCACATCCTCTATTGGGCGTTGCCCAGATCTGGATCTGGGGTCTGTGCACGTCGCGCTTGCGGGGGCCTCATGGTGACAAGGATGGGGTCCCAAGCGAAAGCTCTGTGCGTTTGCACCAACAACGACCATGGTTGCAGGCGCTGCTATCTTCTGAAGACGTTGTTGTGGATCTCATCCTCTCCGCGTCAGAGTTCTGAGTGAAGACCCTTGTCCAGTGTGGCTAGGCAGCGACGACGCTTTGCGCCATTCCCCTCATGAGGGCGTTGTCGAGGAGCTTAGGTGTCCTAGGGTGTTGTGAGAGTTGTCTCAGTTCCCCCAATTTCTTCCTTCGGTAGTGTAGTCGCTTGTCTTCTGTGCGATCCGGATAGCCTAGTACTCCCTCCGTCCCAAAATTCTTGTCTTAGATTTGTCTAGATACGGATGTATGTAATATCAAAACATGACTTGATACATCCTGTAACATCCCAATTTTTATTAAATTCGGATGTTAATAGAATCATTCAATGCATATCATATTTCTTTGCATTTTTTTGGAGTTTAAAAAAATATATTCAAATAATATTTTCCACTCGAGAAAAACAAATGAGAGGGGATAAGATGACTTCCTCAAAATATAAAAGGGTGGGAAATTGTATTTGAATATTATTTGAAGTTTTGGAGTTTATTTGGTATTTATTTTATCTGCAAAAAGTGCATTAATTGCATTAGGAAATATTTTCAAAATGTTCTGTGCTTAAGTTAATGTTCATTAGGCTTTAAATATTGCATAGTTATTTTATAAATTATTGTGGTGTTTTTATTAATTCTTTTGAATTAATTATGACCACTTTAGTGTTCTGTTTAAAAAAAAAACACACGCACACACTCACCGCAGCCTGACCGAAACTGGGTTCGGCCCAGGAGCGCCCCAACCGGCCCAGCTGGCCATTTGGCCCAAGGCCAGCCCCAGCGCCCGACGCCTTCCGCCCGGTCGACCGCACCGCGCCGCCCTCGCTCGCCTCCTCTCACTGCCGCTGCCAGGCGGGCCCCGCTCCACGTCTTCTTCCCTAACCTCCCGCTTCTCCCGCAGGATGAGCACGCGCACGCGCTCCCGAACCCGCCGGCCGAAGCTCTCGGGATAGAGCTTATCCCGCTGCTCCCCGACGCCCTCCCCTCGCCTATATAAAGGCCAAGACCCCCCTCTTCCATCCTCGCCGTCCCGCATCTTCCCACGCCGCCCCTACCGCTCGTCGTCGCCGTTCGCATCTCGCCGGAGCTCCGAGCCCCGCCGTCCTCGCCCCGCCCGTCCGGACGTCGCCGACGCACGCCGCCACCACCTTCGCGACGCCCTCGACGCGCCGCACCTCCCCGTCTTCTTCCCCGACGCCGAGGACCGCCGTAGCCGCCGTCCCCTCCGCCACCGACGCCGCGCCGCCGTCTTCGTCGTCGCCGGCCACCACCTCCAGCCCACTGTAAGCCGCCGCCCCACCCTCGCCCGTTAGATCGGACCCCAACGGTCCAGATTAGATTAGGTTCGGTTTTTTTTATTTTGCGAAGAGGTACGCGGTTAACCGCGGTTCCCTTAGACCGGCCGGTTTTATTTAAACCGAGCGTCGGTTTTTTTCTTTAGTTAGCCGCCGCCACTGTTTTTCTTAGTTAGCGGCCGTTCGCCGTATAGCCTCCGCAGCGGATGCTGCTCGGCCAGCCACGAGCCACCACGTGGCCAGGGACTTGTTTGCGATAGTTTTCTTCTCTGTTTAGTCCCTGTAATTAGCAGATTAGTCCCTAAACTTCGCGTAGCCACAACTTTTTAACCGTAGATCCAAACTCGATGAAACCAGCGGCAAATTCTTCGTATTGTTTAGATCTATCCAGTGGTATCCTTTTTGCAAACTTTTGACAGATTCAAATTTGAATTTATTCAGATTTGAATTCGAACTTCAAATGGCCATATCTCCCAAACCGTAACTCCGATTAAGTTGATTCTTTTTGCACTTTGTCACCGTAGCCAAACCCTATCACCTGGACCTTTGTCACAATAACTTTCACACACTAGAATCTGCCCATTAATATTTTTACTAGTATGCATAGTACTCACTATAGTTCACATCACTCTTTGAACCATAGGCCTATGTTGTTTTGCATCTAGAAATATTTTTTTCATGCTAGTTAAGTGTGATGTTTGTTCATTTGGTTTTTCCGAGACTTTTGCTTTGCATGTTCTTCTTGGTTCTCTTGAATGTTTGTTTATGTTTGTTTATCTCCTTTGCGATAGATTGCCCGGAGTGCGAAGCAGAATATTTTCAGTCTTTAGAGTTCAACCAGCAGTACCAAGGCAAGTTGCATCTTGATCATGTTCCCTTACCTATGTTTTTATTATGCACTTAGTTCTTTGCGGTAGGACTGCATGGTAGGAATTGATGCCGCATGACTATGCTTTTCACCCAGTAGTTCATTGAGGTAGGTCTGAACCATATGACATTGTCGCCATCGTTTTACATTATGTTGCTTCGCTAAGTAGACGTGGATTGGGGAGTGAACATTGTAAAGTATGAGTAACAATGTAGTAAGTAGGACCTAAGATAATTAATGAACTACCTGGGCGGAAACTTGATGGAATGGTGGCGAGGTACAGTGGGGCACGCATGGGAAATCCATGGTGGTGCACCACTAGTGGACCGTCCGCTCAGGCTCAAAGAGATCAATCGTATTCTCATGTCTAGAAGTTTACGTGTGCAGCCACAAGCCAATATGGGCTCTGGCTTAGTTGAGTAGTTAGTGTGACCCCTTCCGGGATGGGCTAGCAGATGTAGAAGGATGTAGGTGTACCGGCCTATCCGTGGGTTAAGGGGGAGCATTTTCGAAAGACTATGTCTCGATCTTCCGATCATGGAGGTGGTCGAGTCTTGTGGGGAAAAGTGCGCAACCTCTGCAGAGTGTCAACCTAATCGATTAGCCGTGTCCCCGGTTACGGACATCTTGAGCTTCTAGTAGTGAAAATGCTGGGAGATCTCCTCACCTTTAATTAAACAGTTGGGATTTAAATGAAACTTGGGAACGGATGGAGTTGGGTTTGCCAACTCATCCTATGCAAATGTGTAGTAGTAGAATAACATCTTTTATAATAGGGAAAAACTAGCTTTATGCAAAAATTAAACTTAGAGCTTTCCACCAGCCAAATTGCATGTACAAGTAGGTTCATTACACTTATGATGTGACTTGCCAGTACATTCAATGTACTGACCTATATGGCTGCAACTTATCACGTTGCAGATATATCCGACGAGGATTAAGGTGCGATAGGTCGATGTTCTACACTCAACCATGCTCGTGGAGTTGGACTCATTTACTACTTTGCTTCCGCAGTATTTGTTTATTGGCTCTATGCCCTATTTGGTAATAAATGTATTGCTCCTGGACTATCGATGTAATAAAGAGATGTGTGTTATTTCTGTTATTTCATCGAGTACTGTGTGTGCTAGCAAGTCGATCCAGGGACTAGCACGGTAAGCACAGAGACTTCGACTCTTACCGAGTCGGGTCGCTACACATCCGTATTTAGATAAATCTAAGACAAGAATTTTGAGTATCTGCTTTGTAAGAGGGTTAACTCATCACCTTGTATTGTTTGGTTGTACTTTGCTCGGTTTGCCTTTATTTTCATAAACGAGTGAATGCCTATTTCGAGAGATTCAGACAAGTGCAAATGATATAACATTTCTTTTTGACAGGAGCAAATGATATAACTAGTAAATATATCTCTACCCATCCACACGGGCCAAAGTCCACCGCGTTTCTATGGCTCTAAGGCCATCGGAGACGTGCCTAAGGGGAGGTAGGGAACTTGAGAATTTT